CCGTATAGTGAGCTTGTAAGGATAGCTCTTATTAATTGTTGGTCTGTTTGGTTAAAATAAATCAATGTGCCTAACTTGCTTTAGTATACTTTACGATACAGCTTGATTATAGGTCCCTTAGCACACCGTAGACCTTGTAATGTTGAAAATACGAATAAAAGACCATGAGACTATTTTAATATTGAAACCGAATCGGTATATGTGGAGAGCTTCGAATTCTTTCGCTGTTAATGAGTTGTTTAATGAGTATGAAGTCAGAATTTGATTTAGTACAAGAAGCATAGGAAACCGATTAAGTGCTAAGTCTAGGAGGCAGGGAATATTTGTTTGTGAATTATAGAATTGTACGAGTAAAATTCTGATTTAAATACGCTCTTGCTTAGGTACGCATGACCCTTGAGTGTGGACTGATGATTGTTGCTGTTTGATTATTACTTGAACACCCAAGGTAAGTGTTTGGTGGTGAGACCTATTGTGACTATTAGCTAGCGTATGTAATTTTGAACTGTTGCTCACATTTGCCTTATGATTTTGTATTCGGTTAAATATTGTTGGTAAACTGCCTTTGGATTTGACATGATGGAAATTCTGTTCTAGGAAGTATTTGTTATTCGGCAGCTTGGTATAATATCAAGGATCTTGAAATTATGTTTTTCACAAACAATAATAAATAATAATTGATGAAAGATTATGCTTAGTTCCTTACCTTCATTATTTGCAAAATCTTGATTACTTAAAGTTAATGCTTCAACTTCTTCAATTTGCTTCAAATTTAAAAAAGGGAAAATTTTATTTTCACGTGGTTTTATAATTTATCACCTTATCCCCTGGTGTTATAAACTCATCGTGTAGATCCATTGTGCTTAAATAATTTATCATTTAACCTCATGTGATTTCAAATTTTCACTTACAATCATTGTGATTACAAGAATATATCACTTAGACCCATTCTGATCTTATAAATATAAAAATATTTAATTTTTCTAAATTTTATTTAATATAATTATAATATTATCAAATAAAATTATAATTAATTTAATAATAAATATTAAATTAAAAAATATTTGAAAACATATTTTGAAATTAATTTATAAATTATCTTACCTTTTTTTATCTAAAAAATATATTAAAAAAAATAAAAAATTATAATTTACATATGTATTATCAAAATAAGATATTCACTTTCTTTAGATAATTTTATAATGACATGGGATAAAAAATAGATAAAATAGAATCATATTTCATTTGAATTGATTTTCATGATAAAAAAAGGTCAATTTTTTGAAAATTTATTTTTATTTATTTGCTTTAAATGCATTAGATGGGGATATAAAATAAAGAAGAGGGAAAATAAGATTTTTTATATTTATAAAATTATAAGGACATAATTGATATTATTATTAATTAAAATTAATTTAAATTTAAATGAGTAATTTATATTTTTCGGTACATAATAAATTTAATTTATAATTTGATAATAATATAAGATGAAAGTTAAGAAAAAAAATGTATATATAAGATCTCAAGAGATCTAAGTGATATATTTTTATAACCGTAATAAGTGTAAGTGAAAATTTAAACCATATAAATATTAAATGATAAATTATTTAATCATAATAAATTTAAATAACAATTTTAAAAATAAAGTAAATCAAATAATAAATCAGAAAATCACAATAAATTATTTAAAATCACAATATATAATAAATTATGGGCCCAGTTCGTGTTGCGTTGGTGGTAGTGTGTGCAGGGGTTAATAGTAGCCATAGCCACCCTTATAACTAATACTCCTCTTTCGAGGAAGCCGAAAACCTTGTGCATCAGTATTACATACACATACACATACACATACACCATCACCGTTGTCTTCTTTTTCCCATTTTCGCCGTTGTTGGACGTTTAGCAAGTGCACTAGTCGTACAAGTAATAAAATGATGAGTAAAGATCGTTCCCACGAGGAATTGTGTTCAAACACCAATATACCATAGAAAACTAATTTGAATCAAATAAGAGTTTGTAAAAATCATGAATAATTTGTCAGCAGAAAATTGATTGTAAGTAATTTGACACAAAGTAAATATGGATTAGGAATTAATAAAACAACAAGTAGTCAGAAAACAACTTTCCTCCATAATAACCTATGTAAAAACTGATCATGTGATGAATTCCTTTCCATGTGATGTTAATCAACCTTTTACTTATCATCAAGATGTAATCCCTTACTACCCTGATAGATACATTAATCAGAAACCCCAATCCCTTGGTGATCTCTTTCTTAATACATGCATGAAATACTAAAGTCTTAAGATTACATCAGAACTCTAGCATCAATCCCTTGAGTACTAGAATTCTGATGTTGAGATTATCAAATACAGAAGTCATATAATCATCCATGTTCTATATTACTTCCTTGATAGAAATAATTAAATCAGAAAATCTCAAATCAACACATGAAAAATACTTCATCATATTAATCAAATCAACATAATATTATCATGGAGTTCTATTGCATTCAGACTACAAAGACTCTACTCAGACATGCATGTGTACGGTTGTAGCTTATGCCTCTCGGCAACTGAAATCTCATGAAGAAAATTACCCTACACACGATCTGGAGTTAGCAGCCATAGTGTTCGCACTAAAAATTTGGAGGCATTATTTGTATGGATCACAGTTTGATGTGTTCAGCGATCATAAGAGTCTGAAGTACTTGTTTGACCAGTAGGAGTTAAATATGAGGCAACGTCGGTGGATGGAATTCTTGAAAGATTACGAGTTTGAACTTAAATACCACCCAGGCAAAGCAAATGTGGTAGCTGACGCTTTGAGTCGAAAGACTCTGCACACTGCAACTCTGATGATAGAAGAATTTAAGCTATTTGAGGCTTTTCGAGATATGAATTTGTCTGTTGTCAGAAGAAGGCGTAGTATAAGGTTGGGTAGTGTGAGAATAGAGAATGAGTTACTCCATAGGATCAAGAGGGCTCAAAGAGATAAGGAACTAGTCCAAAATTTGGCTGGTATCCAAGATGTAGTATGGGATGAGAATGAAATGTTGAGAATCCAAGGTCGGTTAGTAGTACCGAATGACGAATTGAAGCAGGAAGTTTTGCAGGAGGCCCATAAGGGTAATTATGTCGTTCATCCTGGATCCACAAAAATGTATCATGACTTGAAGACTTCGTTCTAGTGGCCGGGTATGAAACGGGACATTGCGGAATATGTAGCTCGGTGCCTAACATGTCAGAAGGTGAAATATGAAAATCAAAAACCTTCGGGACTTCTTCAACCTTTGGAGATTCCCGAATGGAAATGGGATAGTATTGCTATGGATTTTGTAGTTGGACTTCCTCGGACGCGAGAAGGTTATGACGCCATATGGGTAATTGTTGATCGGTTGACGAAGTCAGCTCATTTCCTGAGATTTCGAACGACGTATAATACAGAGAAGCTTGCCAGGATTTATCTTCGGGAGATCGTGAAGCTGCATGGAGTTCCTACTAGTATTGTCAGTGATCGTGATCCCAAGTTCACCTCTAAGTTCTGGGAGTCGTTTCAGCGAGCTCTCGGAACCCACTTGAAGTTGAGCACTGCTTATCATCCGCAAACCGATGGTCAGACGGAACGCACTATTCAGGTCTTAGAGGATATGTTGCGGGCATGTATTTTAGAGCAAGGAGGCAGTTGGGACAAGTATCTTCCTTTGGTAGAATTTGCATACAATAACAGTTATCATCCCAGTATCCGTATGGCACCGCATGAAGCATTGTACGGGAGGAAATGTAGATCCCCATTGTGTTGGGTTGAAGTTGGCGAGCAGAGTATTTTGGGGCCCGATATGATTCAAGAAACATCTGAGTAGGTACAGAAGATTAAATAAAACATGCAGCGGGCCCAGGCGAGGCAGAAAATTTATTATGACAATCGTCATAGGCCCTTATCTTTTGAAGTGGGAGACCACATATTTTTGAGAATCACACCCTCATCGAGACTCGGCAAGAGAATGGGAGTAAAGAAATTAAGTCCGCGGTATTTGGGGCCATATCTTATCTTGGATAGGATTGGAGAATCAGCTTACCGGTTGGCGTTACTGCCAAATTTGTCAGGGATTCATGATGTATTCCATGTGTCGCAGCTGAGGAGATATCTCTCAGATCCATCTCATGTATTACAGCCGGAAAAAGTAGAGTTAAGGGAGAATCTGACGTATCATTTTCAGCCGTTCCAAATTCTTGAGAGATCTGTGAAACAACTATGTTCCAAGGAGATACCGTTTGTGAAAGTGCTGTGGAACAACAAATCGGCAAATGAGGCCACTTGGGAGCGCGAGGACAACATTCAGAATTGTTATCCAGAACTTTGTAATTAGTAAGTAAGCCTAATTTTGCGGACAAAATTCTATTTTGGTGAGGAGAGTGTAAAATCCCACGTAATTGGGAAAAATACATAAAATACTATAAGGCATAAGAAGGCATGTGTGAAAATTCGAATTACATAAAATATTTGTTTGGTTTTCAAATTATATGGTTACTAGGATGGAATTAATATTGAGTTAGGAAATTAGTTGAATTATAATGATAGGTGAGAAATTATTTTAGGCATGTGAAACCTAGTTGAAAGATGTAGAGATAAATTAATAGTAGCATATAGAAAGATTAAAAACATCTAAAAGACTTGGGAACTTATAACTTTATTGGATAATATCTAAGTTAGTCACACTAATGGGTTTGTAAATTTCTAGCCCCAATTCTTGTTTGGCCGAAGCCTAAGGGCTTTAAGGGGTGATAGATTCAGCCCAATTTTGTAGGTCACCCTCATCTCATCCTAAGTAATCCAACAAGACATCCCCTAATTGGTTAGTGATCTCCACATGGCAAAACCCATCCTTATTTCCCCTCCACTTGTGCGCCTAGGGCTTAACCAAAATTCTGATCTTTGCTTGCATGTGATACAAAGTAAGTCAGCCTCACTCCTCCTTTCCCTTATCACATGCGCATAGAGAGTGCAAAAAGGAAAGTTGATTGCTTTCTACACCTTCCAAACTCAATCAGCTTTAAGGCATGCAACCAATAAGGAGCATTTAGTCAGCTTGCATGTCACATGTGTGGGCAAAAATCCTGCACCCAATTACTCCTCCTTGGACGCTCCATGGAGAGAGAGAAGACTTGATTTTCTTCTGATCTTTGAATCTTTTAAATCAGCCATCTCAACCCTTGTCTTGAACTCCCAAGCGCTGTATGAAGATAACAAAGGACTACTGAATCATTTTGTTGAAACAGAACCCAACTTAGCTCCATAAGCAGCCTCAAACCCCCCACTTTTTCCTTCCCCATGCGCTGATGTTGTAGAAGAAATATAGGTTGAAGCTTTGACTCTTGAAACAAAAACAAACTTAGCCATTTCATCCCCCACTCTTCCCCTAAAATCGTGAGTCAAGTAGTGAGTAAGTATCCAGAAATAAGTTCACACTATTCCTAACCTTCTTGCTCAAATCGAGGACCTCTATAGCACCATTGTCATCAAGCCTTCACCTCCTTCCTCTTTGCTCAGCCGAAGCTTCATACAAGGAGGTAGAGTATGGTCCTTTCTTCCTTGCATCCCCCTACCACGTTTAGTTGATGGAAATGTCCCCTTGTATGTAGGATTGAATTCAAGAAAATCCTCCTTCTCCCTTGGTGCGCACAGCCACGGTTTGGAGGGCTGAGTTTGATGTGTTCGTAGAGCTTTGAAAGCAGTGTTACCCCTTGTTCAATTCGGTTTTCTGTGTGTTTTTGCAAGAGGTAAGCACAAATTTTTGAACCTCTCTTCCCTTCCCTGTTCAAGTCGTGAAGCATGCTTAGGAAGTAGCTCTTCTACTTATTTTAGCTCTTTTAGATTCTGCCATATTAAATCCCTAGGACACTAGTTTAAAGGCATGACAAGTAAACTTGGAAATAACCTTATAATACATGGTGGGGCTGTTGGTTGTGGTTTAGTGTATCTTGAATTTTTCTTGAATAAAAATATAAAGGACAGCATGCGTAGACTACATGTAGTGCACCATAGGTAAATCTGTTAAGTTTGGAGTATGCGAATCATTGACATTTTGTTTGGATAAGACCGATTAACTTTGACATGTACTAAGTCCTATTTAAACTAAATAGACAGCGTGATGTATAGGCTTTCTTTTCGCACCATAAGGTTAGGGAAGTAGAAATTTTATGAATGAAATCTTGAGAAATTTCCTGTATAAAAACCGATTCTATCTTGATTGGAAACCTTAGGATGTTTCGTTGTTAAATGTTCATAATCTTGTTGAAAAGTCAAAATTTAATTAGGGAAGAAAACATGATGAAATCGTTAGAGTTGTATGTGGGAACTAAGGAAAAATGTTGGGTGCTACTGCTGTATGAATTAATAAAATTAGACGAAGTCAGAAAAATGTAATCACTTATGAGAAGCCTTAAACCGAACCTATATATGTGATGAGCCTTGAGAAAATGGTAACTTCTAGCAAGGAATGGAATACTTATTTGGGGCAGAATGTAATTAACACTAGGAGTCCTATCATTCGATGAAAGTGCATGATTTAGGAGCTTAGAAATTATTGGAATAATCGTATGAAATTCTGATTTGGTACGTTGATATATTAGGTGCACAAAACCTTTGAGACTTTGGATTATTTCACTGCTGCCTGGTAAATTAATTGTGGCGCGTGAGGTAAGTGTTAGGTGGTATTACCTAATGTGACTATTGACTAGTGTATAAAGTTGTGACATGTTGCTCACATGTTCCTAATAATTATTCTGTTATTTATGATGAAAGTATTCTGCCCATGGATATGTCTTGATGGTAATTTTGTTATGAGGTACAATTATAATATGGCAGGATGAAGAATATGTTATGATAATAATGATGTAGTCATGCACGTTTACATCATACCGCATCTATTTTTCTATTTTGTGTGTGAAAGCATAGCATGACATACAAGTACAGAATTCATGTTATCCTTGACACTAAGGATATTTATAAAAGATTCATGTGTCTGAGCACGCATCATATAGGCATCCCTTCGGTACCAGGGCATGGGACACTTGGCTTCCGTCCGCATAGGCCACAGTTGGAATTCACCTTTGAGGGAGCCATTGTGGAATATCCACTGTGTATGTTAGTACGCACACTACGGTGCTATGAGAGTAATGATGGCGTTATATACACACTATGATATGTTAATATTTATCCAAAAAATGAAATGTTCATGTGACTGTTTATAATTTTGTGGCTAGTTTAATACTGTTGCATTATTGGTTTTGCTATCACACTACTGGAAATTTTCTCACCCCTTTGGGGCTGCAATTTGTATAAAATTGCAGGGGGACGAAAGAGCATATTATTTTCCTGGCAGACGTTGCTGTCTTGAAAAATTCGTGTAAAATCAAGTTCAACGATCCAAAAAAATATTCTTTGTAATATAGAAAGAGCACGTCTGGGGCTTCGCGTGCATATAAAATAATAACAAATCAGAGTTCGTTTGCCCCTCGTAACATAACTCGCAAAGTGCTCGCAAAACTGTTTATAAATTAGCACTTAGCAAAACATTCAGAAATTATTTTCGCAAAACGTTTTCAGAATTTTTCCAAAGTACTAGATAATCATAAAAGTCTCACAACAACAATGAAATCATAGTTCCAACAGTAGTCTAAGGTTTTCAACATAACAATAGTACAGTCATCCAACAGACAAAATAGCAGCAAGTCCTAACAGCAGCAATTAACAGTAAATATCCAAATAATCCATGTCCTCATATGCTCTTTCGTCCTCCTGCAATTTCATAAAAATTGCAGCCCCAAAGGGGTGAGAAAAATCCCAGTAGTGTGATAGAAAAACCAATAATGCAACAGTATTAAACTAGGCACAAAATTATAAAACAGTCGCATCAACATTTCATTTTCCTGATAAATCTTAACATTTCATAGTGCGTATATAACGCCATCATAAAGTACGTCATAGCACCATCGTGCACGTACAATATACACAGTGGATATTCCATAATGGCTCCCTCAAAGGTGAATTCTAACTGTGGCCTATGCGGACGGAAGCCAAGTGTCCCATACCCTGGTACCGAAGGGATGCCTATATGATGCGTGCTCAAACGAATGCATATTTGTATAGATATTATTATTAGCCAATGCAACATGAAATTTATGCACGTATGCCATGCTATGCTTTCACACACCAACAGAAAAACGGATGCGGTATGATGTAATTGTGCATGACTAAATCATCAGTATCATAACATATTCTTCAAGCTGCCATATAACAGTTTTACCTCATAACAAACTTACCATCAAGACATAGGCAGAATACTTTCATCATAAATGGCAGGATAATCATTAGGCACATGTGAGCAATATTTCACAACTTCATACACTAGTCAATAGTCACATTAGGTAATACCACCTAACACTTACCTCAAGTCTTTAACATTCTTTTATCAAAACATCACCAATCAGCCCACACAATTTTGAGGATAGCACACCTAAACATTAGGTAGGTACCAAAAATCAGAACTCGCGTCTACTGTTCCAATAAAATACATATACTTTCCATGCTTTCAATTCAAGGCTTCCAACCAATTTACCATGCATCCATGCTATTTAATTTTCCGTTTTAACTTTAGTTTTGCCAAAGATTAACAAATGACATAAATACAAATCCCTAAGCGTTTAATTCGGTAGTCTTTACCATTAATTAGGTGCTACCAATTATCCTTTACATAGCCTTGATCCTCCATGCTTGTGGTTTCGGTTTCTTGTCCATTAAATAGGTGTCTTAGATTTTTATTTTTATTTTCATTTACATAACAATTCTACATAATTTAGCCTTAATAATGTGCCCTTGATTTTATTTACATATACTATTCCTCTGAGCTTAAGGATATACAAAAGAGGCTCCTATACATGCTGTCCAACAATTTAAAACATGCAAGGCTGCATAATTATCTTTCTAGCTAAACGGACAGCCCAACCATTTAAATAGCCACATACAAGTTCACAAAATTCAGATTTAGTTTATCAATTAGGTGCTTAGACTTTCTTTTAACAAACCACTAGTTGATATCAATTGACAAAATCACAAGGTTCCTATTTGCATACTGATTCGGTTTCGTGACTAGCCCCTAGAGAATTTTATTTCTTTCTTTAACATAATACTGCTTTTATCACTTGGTCATGAAATTAAATTCTACATGCTTCTATTACCCATTACCATTCTGCCTTCAAGGTTATTCCATTAACTGTTAACAATTGAAATTGTCCCAAACTCCACAATACAAACAGAATTGGTTTTTTAACCCCTCCTTAGGTGATTATAATCGGTTCCCTCAACAACTCCTACCCTCCTTACTCACGCATGAGATGTTAACCTGCTAGCATGCTGACTTCAATTTTCAAAGCATAAGCAAGGCCTATTCATTTTTCCTAATCCAAGGACAGTTTCGAACTTCATGATAATTCATACTCCAAGTTTACAAATCAGTTTTCAGATTTTTCTTTTATGCATTAGGATGACCGTTGTTCAAGTGAGCAGAATGGAGTAGGCATGACAAAGAAAATAAACTTCTTCCTAACATACTCAAGGATGCAGAGACAGAGATGGTAAAAGGATTGCTTGAGATTGACTCACCTCTTCTTCTCTCCAAGGCTTACGCCTGCAGTCCCATGCAGGGGATTTATCTCCTCTCCAAGGACCGATTTCCAACTCCTTGATGGTGGTTGTCTTCGGCTGGACAAAGAGGAGGAGGATGGCTGTGAACTTATGGTTGATTCTGCATGTTGGAAGAAATCCTCTTCAGCCGAATATGGTAGAAAGGGGACAGGGAAACAACAGAGAAATCCTCCACCTCCTAATGGGATCCTCGGCCAAGCAGTGAGAATAAAAGAAGAAAGCTATAATGGTGGTTCTCCTCCCTAATGACTCACGGTTTCTGGTGAAGGACAAGGGGGAAATTGACATGCAAGCTTTGGTTCTCTCTCTCGATGGTCTACGGCTTGAGGGGGTGGTGGTTGAGCTTTATTCGGAATAAAAGAAAAACATCCCGTTTCTGATGGCGAGGGTCTTTGCGCATGGGTTAAAAAGAGAGCAGAATGATATGTTAAATGGTGAGGTCTTCTCCATGGAGCATGTGGCTTTGCAAGAAGGGAAAGGTTGTTTGAGTTCTTTAATTAACTTTCTGGTTATAGGAGTTCAAAAGCAAGACATCCCAATCAGAATAGCGCACAAGGAGGAAACAAGATGGATAGGATAATTGAGGGTTGCTATTGACCAATGGAATTTCATGCAATGAGATTACTTCTACAAGGGGTGGCAAAGCTGATTGCTTAGGACACTAATATAAGTACTAAAATTTTCCTTTCCTTTACGTCTATACCCAGCGCACAACAAGACTAAGGTCTAGTATTATTTTCAACCGATAAAATATATATACATGCAGATTTTTATTTTTGTGAGAGACAACTAAAGGTTCACTTATCGCATAATATATATATATATATATATATATATATATATATATATATATATATATATATATATATATATATATATATTATTAATTCATGTTTCCACTAGGTGGTAATTAAAATTCCTACCTATATTATAATTAATTGTAATTCTACCCCCTTTTTATTTAGTGTTTTGAATTCTTAAGATATATAAGTATTCACTTATAATTTCCATTAGAATGATTTCCCTAAATAAATTAATTGCACTCTAAACTTAATTGAATTTCGAATTCCAAGCATGCTATACACCCCTAATTGCAAGTTATGAGATTTTCTAATTTTTGCGACATGTTACATTGATGGATGACTGTATTATTTTGGGAAGTTTGATTTACCGTTGGAACTATGATTTAGCTACTGTTTTAAGACTTTTATGATCAGTTAGTACCTTGGAAAAATTTTGAAAACGTTTTGTGAAAATAATTTCTGAACGTTTTATTAAGTGCTGATTTATAAACAGTTTTACGAGCACTTTGCGAGTTAGGTTTCGAGGGGCTAACGACCTCCGATTCACTTATATTTTATATGCATGTGAAGCCCACGTGTCTAGTTTTTGATTCTATAAATGTTACAATGGAATTTTGAAAACTTGATTTTACACGAATTTTTCAAGATAGCAAGGTCAGCCAGGAAAATAATATTTTCAGCAAGCTATGAACTTTTAAAGTCTCACTCTGATTTTGTTTTAGTAACCAGATTTCGACTTAAGTTTTTAATTAGTAACAATTTTTTTTTTTTGCATTTTTAGTACTTAAGTAAAGAAGTTAGAACTCTAATCCGCTTAGCAAACAACTCCCTTGGATGCATACAAAGGAGGGTGTTACACACATCAAGTATATATATCTATGTAAAACCTTCCTTTCAATCCATAGTGAACATAACTGATAAGTAGCCATTAATTCAAGTAGCAATTCACCATTTCACACATAGTGCTTAGGCACAAGCATACCCTGTGATCACCATGATTGTGCACACACATCTTGCGCGACAGTGAATTGATTAGGCTCACTGCCTAACAAGAGAATGGGCACAACCATGCTTAATACCGGGCACTACCAGTACCATCACACCTAGAGGAACAAAATTTTTAGTTAGTAGCTCATGCAACAATTACATTCAAACAACAACCATTCAACGAACAAATTCAAATAGCCAATAAATTCAAACAACATCAATACAGAAACCACGTACCATCAACAAATGTTTCATCAAATACAAACACCTTGAATCAAAACTACTCTGATACCATTTAGTGTGACACCCTCCCCTGTACGCGTCCAAGGGAGTTGTCTGCTAAGCGGATTAGAGTCGTAACGAATTTTTAATAAATACAGAACTACGTTTTCAAGTTAATAATTCACTCATATGATTGAAATCTGGCGGTTTACTGAAATCAGAGTGTGACTTTAACAAAATACATGACTTGCTGAAATAATAATTTTCCTGCGAAACCTTGTTGCCTTATAAAAATGGTATAAATTCGAGTTCAACAGCTTAAAAAATATTCTTTGATACAAGGAAACTAGACATTCGGGGCTTTACCTGCGTATAAAAATCATTTCATTCGGAGGTGTCTAGCTCCCGAAACAGAACTCGCAAGGTAAGAGATAAATCAGTGAAAATGTTCCAAAACTATCTGACTTGCAAAAATCATAAAAATCTGTGCTTACATAATTTCATTGTAAAGTTTATATAATCTGAAACTAGACACATGGGGCTATGCGTGCATATAAATTATAAGTAAATCGAAGATCTGTAGCCCCAGAAGTGGAACTCGCAAAGTGCTGCAAAAACAGTTTATAAATCAGCATTCAAAACGTTCATGAATTGTTTTCATAAAATACAACCAGAATAGTGCAAGTTAAGTGCTGGCCATAAAGTCTCAGAATACACCAGTTTAAGACAGGTTCTGACATTTTTCCAATATCACAAAATATTAAATCAACATCATTGATCAGTCAACAGCTAGTAGAAACAGTGGACAACAACATAATTTCCAAAGCAGCAGCAAACAAGCAAAACATGTCCAAATCAAATACTTCATCAAAAATCCTTTTTCGTCTCGCTGCAATTATAAAAATTGAGCCCCAAAAGGGGTGAGAAAGAATCAGAGTAGTTTGATAGTAAAACCAGTATTGCCACAATATTAGACTAGGTACAAAATTCCAAAATAGTCGCATCAACATATAATTTTCTGGACAGATGCTAACATATAATCAAAGTGCGTATACTAATCATGACGCCATAGTCATCAGAGTGCGTATATAACGCCATGGTAATGTACGCTCATAGCACTGCAGTGCACGTACTAACATACACAGTGGAGATTCCATATTGGCTCCCTCAAAGGTGAATTCCAACTGTGACCTATGCGGACGGAAGCCAAGTGTCCCATACCTTGGTACCGGAGGGGTGCCTATATGATGCGTGCTCATTCGTATGCTTACTTATATTATAATTCGGTTTCCAAACTGGATGCACAATGTTGTATGCCATGATATGCTTCGCACACACAAAAAGAAACAGTTGAATTATGATGTATTTATGCATGACTAGATCATCATCATAATAGCATATACTTCATGTACTTTTAATACCAAACTGCCGCATAATAATTACTTCTCATAACAGAAGTTCCATCATATCAAGTCCATAGGCAGAATACATATAACATTTAACAGAGTACGCATCCAAGGCACATGTGAGCAACAATTCACAATTCCATACACTAGCTAATAGTCACAATAGGTCTCACCACCAAACACTTACCTGCGTGTCCAAGTAATAACCAGTCAGCACCAAAATTCAGCCCACACAATAAGGGTTACGTGCACCTAAGCAAGTAAAACCAAAACAGAATTTCAAACTTTGATTCCTACAATTTACAATTAATTTCAATGCCCCCTAACCCATGTATATAATCGGTTTTTTCCATGATCACTAAGTTAGATTTATTTTCTGACTTAACGTTTAGTTTAACCAACCGTTAGCAAGAAGCACAATTCACACTTCCTAAATATACAGATTTGGATTTTAACCTTAGAAGGATGCTTGTGATATTTACTTACAGCCCAACGCTATTAAACCTAAGGGTGCGCTAAAGGATTTATTTATCTAACCAACTCTCCTAAGCCAAAGGTGCGCTAATGTAAGCAACCAAAGCATGCTGTCCAATAATTTAACTCATGCAAAACTTGATACAAAATATAACCCAATCCAAAACAGCCCATCACATTGATACGAGAGCTATCTCCACGCTCATCATTCAGGTTCCTTTTTGAGTTTTCAATCCCATGTTCAAGAGGTCCAATAGGGCAGAGACAAGGGGATGATCATAAATTAAAACTAACCTCTTAATATGCTAGTGTGACTTATGTAGGATGTAATCGGCTCTTAAGATGCTGTCTACTAAGATTTAACACGTTTAAATTTATTAATTCCTTTTCTTATACAGCGAACAGTCCAATTATTTAACTGAGTTATTTTACACATTCCCTAACATTAATTAACACTTCTTGCAAGTACCAACAATCAACAATTCTACGGCTGACAGCAGGGAAAAGAATAACAAAGCTAACTTCCTACCCTTCATGCAACCGAAGCAGTAGAGAAAAAAAACAAACGCAGAAGCTGGTTTTTTGGTTGTTACCTTCTTGCCTAAATTCCTATGATCATTAATCGACCCAAGAGCATCCCTCCATCTTTTTCCTAAGGTCCAATAGTCGAATCCAGTTGCATGCAAGGAGAAATATGGACTCAATCACGGCGGGGTAAGGAGCATGCAATGGAAAAACAAAACAAACTTAATCAAGGTCCATCGATTAGAAGAAAACAAGAAAGGAGATAAACATCCTACCTCCTTACTTGTGATGTTCAGCCGAATAGGGAGAGAAGACTGTTACATGGATGTCCTAGAGACAATCTTTTGATTAGATTAGGACATGTGTGAACCTTTTATATTGTCGCAGATAAATAAAAGCACTCTTGAGTATTGTTAATATTTTATTAAAAGAACTTTTGATTATTTTGTCTCAATATTATTGTTAATATTTTATATGAGTAACTGGATAAACCCCTTGGAATAGAACAGGAGGTATCTCTTGAGTATCTGTGATGAGATCACGATCATGAGGATTCAAGGATACTGCATGTTTATTCCTAATTTTATGTTCCTAGTCTAGAGACACAGAGAATGGGGATCAGTGATCTCGGGTAAGACTAGAACGACTTATCTACATGTATTTGGATACAAGGTAAAG